CAGTGCTGGGGAGGACCCACTGGTCACATGCCCTGCTGCTAAGCTACCAATGCAAGCTAGACAGAAAATTCCCTTTCTGGACGCAGATTCCATTATCCCATCCTTCAGCCACTGATATGATTTCCTCTGGCAAGGGAATGGGATATGTTATGTTTTGAACAGAAAAATATATATATACAACTTTTTTGTCAAACGTTTCTCCTGCCTGGTTTTGTTTCTTGTTTATCTGTTTATAGTTCATGGTTGTTTTGTTTTGAAATAGAAAAATGTATGCATTCCTTAACATATAACATTTAGAAATAGGGAACTGCACATGCAGAAATGACCACACTTCCCATGTAACTCTGCAGTATTCACTTCTGTTTCTTATATGGCCTCGTAACAATATCACAGCAGCAATTGTACAGAAATATTGTACATCAGGACAGTGGCACAGGATTTACAGCCCAGCCTGTCCTGGGAGCAGAGGGCAGCACCAGCTGGCTCCAGGCATCCTGCAGCTGACTCCTGAACAAAGGGGCTACTCCTGGTGCTTCTGGAAAAAATGGACCTTTATGAGAAACTTAATGGGTCAAAGTCAGCTGTCTATCTTATCCACCCTGCTGTCTTTGACTGGGCCCTGTAGCTCAAGGCACATGACCAAATTAAGAAACAATTTGCCAACACAAGAAATCTCTCAACAGCCATCAGAAAATAAAAGGTCTACTTGTGAAAGATCACTGAACACAAGCGGGGATTTTTCTAGTCCTTAAAGGAGGGATTCTTAACTGGGGCAAGATTCTTTTAAGGTGCTGATATTTACCATATCAGCATAGTGAGGTCCTCTGAAGGATGCCTCATCATGTCAGCACAGTGAGATCCTTTGAAAGGTGCCTCACCAAATCCTTTGGTGAGATCCTTTGGAGGGAGCCTGACAAAATGAGCATGGTAAGATCCTTTGAAGGCCACCTCACCATATCAGTATGGTGAGGGGCAAACACCTAATACAGGCTTCACAAGCTAAACCCAGAGGTTTCAAACAGACCTATTTAACGTGCCAAAGATTATGGAATTAGGCCCACCATGAAATACTATAAGCCTCCCTTAATAAGAGAGGCCACTGAGGACACATCAGTTAATTCTGGGGGACTAATAAAGAGAAAACAGGAAGGGGAGTGAGGTCACAGGTTAACAACAAGGGATTCTGAAGAGGACACTGAGATGAGCACACTAGCAAGCACCCACTGCCCCCTGAATGAGCTGAGAGAGCCTGCAGATGCTGATCAATGAACCTCTGCCCGGAGATGTGAGCAGAGGAGTCGCAGGAAGACAGCCTCACACTTGCTTGGGTTCCTCCCAGCTGGAGCCTCCTTTCTGGTCTTGTAAATGGCCAGAGCCAGGAGGAGGTTGACTAGAAGGTCGTGGGGCTATGGTTGGGAAATGCATAACAGAAAAGGTGTGGGAGGAGGCAGGAGAGGGGCTGCAATGTTGTGCACTTGAGGTGGGCACAGAGATGTCAAAAAGGGATCCCCAGGCTTTGTTATTTTCCCCTGATCAAATGGGGCAAAGGAACCACATCCAGACAAACATGTTAGGGAGAGCTGCCTGGAGCCTAACAAAACCAGATGGGATTCAACATAGACAAGTAGGAACTCCTGCACTTGGGACAGAATAATTGCATGCGTATGTATTTGCTAAGTGTTCAAAGATGTGAAGGGTGATCATTGAGAGGATGAAGATGGGCTTTTCTCAGTGGCTGTAGAAGGCTGGACTAGGAGCACTGGCCTCAACATTCAGCAGGGGAAATTTAGGTTGGAAATTAGGAGAAACTTTCTATGAGGACAGTCAAGCACTGCAACGGGCTACCTAGAGATACTGTGGCATCTTCATCCTCAGAAATTTTCAAGAGCACGTTGGAAGGAGACCTGGCTGGGATGGTTGAGTCAGGGAGGATCCTGCCTTGAGCAGGGGGCTGGACTAGATGACCTTGTGAGGTCCTTTCCAGCCCAACTACATGACCTTGACTGATCAGAGGTTGTTTCCAGCCCTAGTTTCCTGAGAAAACCCCCTGGCCCTAAACTGAGAAGGGTTTTTCTTTTTCCCTTCCCTTCCTCTCAGCCTGCCACAATCCTAGAGAAGCAGGGCTGGAAGCGACCTCCAGAGGCCACCCAGTCCACCCCCCTGCCTGAGGCAGGATCATCCCATCCAACACC